TTCAAATTTGGGAAGTGAAAGTAATTGCAAAAGTGGTTATGAAATAAGCAAAATAAGATCTGTAGGTGACTCATTCTTTACAATGTTGCCACAACAGGGAGGCAGAACAATGTATTTATGACAGGGTTGTCACTAAACCTGTTGTACTAAGCTGCATAAAACTGCAAGACTTCAAGTTCTACAAGTAGCCCATGCTCACCCGTAGGATTTTGAACTTCTGGCTCACATTCCTTCAGAGATAAAGAACTAAAGTTGTCAAGGGACAACAAGTTGATGAGAAAGAGGAAGTGGTTCTTGCTTAGTGTGTGCACAGGCAGAGGCGATCAGATGCAATGGTTCTGCGGTTAGATGGTACTACTGACAGCACTGGGGAGTAGAGTGACGACTAGTGGGAGTGGAATGAACTAAAGAGTGAATTGGTGGGACTCAAGGGGGCTGAGAAAAGGAGCACTGGGGCTACGTTCGTGTTCATTGACTAGTATGACTAAAGAATTAGCCTCACATATTCTTACATATATATGTACATATACATGTATTATGCATAATAGAGATGTATTATGTTACAGATATGTAGTCAATACATGAGCTATACATGTATATATAATAAGATATAATTAACAGAACAGAAAGACAAAGTATCTCATAAACAAACAACCCAACACTAACTTGAATGGGGAGTGAACAAAATCAAGGAGAAAGGGAATGACTAAGGGGAAGTGAGTGGAAAAGTATGAGGGAAGCTTCATTTTGCCAGTTTGTCCTGGACTCTGATCTATTGGTGAAGAGAATGGTGCACTAGATTAGTGGAGTTCAGTTGCTTCTGACTGAACTTTGAGTTCAGCTCTTCTATAAACACCTGGGGATGGGCCCTAGACATACATTTTCTGTTTGGAAATTCCTGAAACTTTTAATCGAATGTGATTTGTGGTTGTATGCTCTCCTATGTTTCATGTGGTTTAGTTCTTCACAAAGAAACTATGTTAGTGTTTCATAATGGACCATTGAGTTGTTACACAGAGAAATCTGTGGTTTAAGGCTTACTACTGTTTAATTAAACCTTGAGAGTGCTTTTTTCACTGGTTCACATACCATGAATTAGAAACAATATAATATGGGTCTGCAACATATTAGAGTATTATATCCTTTCAAAACAATTTTGTAGTGGATCTCCGTACCATTCCTACTTGTTTTTCCTAGATACATGTGCATCACTGCTGGAGGAGCTATTCTTAAACTAAGACACTAACCTCTGACTCACTATAATCACAATGAAAATTGGAGTACAATAGAATGTTATATGGAATATGATTTCAGATTTTGATCCGTCTTGTCGTCTTTGGGCTTCCCTTAATGTCACAAACTGCCTCTGACAAAGCATATCGCTCTCGCTGCCCGGTCTCACCGAGACGTCAAACGTGTGAAGGCGGCTTGTTCTCTGCAGTCACCAAGCTCGGGGTACGAGGAAAGCCGTGTCACCCACCCTCACCTGCGGGCCGGCCCCTTGGCTCCCGCGCCAAGGGCGACCCCCAACCCGAATTCATGTTGGCGCCTAGGGCAGGAGGGCATGAGGCTGTACCCCCGCCCAGCCGCTGACCCCTGCCCGCCGGGAAGGTGCTCCCCACCTCCACCAAGCGAGGCAAGAAGCGCCCGGGAAACGCAAACGCGACCCACCTTCTCCAGGGTCCACTGTGCTCCGGCGTCCCTCCCGAGCGCCAGGTGCAGGCAGGCGGCGAGGCACAGCGCCCCGGGCAGCCGGGGAGCGCCCCCCGAGACCCCCGCCATCCCTTCCCTCCGCCTCTCCGAGTCCCGAGGGTGGAAAGGGTAGAGCCGGCGCTGTGCCGGCGGAGGTGGAGGCGGAGGAGGGACGGACGGAGGGAGGGAGGAGGCTGCTGCTGCAGGAGCGGCTGTGGCTGATGGAGCCGCAGCCCTGCCAGCCTCTCCCAGCCCGTGTGCCCTCCGAAATGAGCCCCGTCCCCGGCAGCACGTCAGCAGTGCCACGGGCCCGCTCCCCTCCTCCCGCCGCGCTGTGAGGGGCGGCGCGCAGGGACTCATGATTCCCACTGTGGGAAAAGCCGGAGCCTGCGGCTTTCCCCTGAAAGCTGGTTTTGTGTTCCGAGGGGCGGCTCTGGGATGGGCTGGGGGTCGGGGGCCCCGCGTGATCTCATCGCGTTCGGGCACCGGTGGGAGCTGCGGGCGCTGGAATGAGGGAGGGCTCTGCTGCTCCGCTCGGGCTCCTGCTGGGAACGGGCCGGGATCAGCGCTCATGGCTGATGGCCAGCTCGGAACGGATATTCGTGAAGGGTCTGACAGGGCAAAGACCTACAGAACTGCAAAGGGGTTTAATTTATTAGTTTATAAGCTCTTCTTAATATCCTTTTTAGGCCTAAACCAACAATACTTGCTAGAATAAAAATCCATTCTTCAGGCATTTTAAATTCTGTAATTATACTATCAACTACCAATGAAGCAAAATCTGTGGTGAGGTGGTATTTTGCAGTAGACCAATTAAAATTATTAAACCAAAGATACAAGTTTCTGAGCTCGTGATCCCTTCTTTATGTCATTTGACATCACCGTTCTTGCTCTACGATGTCGCAGAAAACATCTAACTATTCTGCATCAAAGATACTCCTTTTAAAGTCTCCAGTTTTTACATGTTTCTTAAAGCTCAGGCTCAATGCCAAAACAAGAGAAAAAAAAAAAAAGATGAAAGAAAGGAAAGAGGGAGGGAGCAGGAGTAATCATATTGCTGCTCTCCAGCCTAATACTGGAAAGTCAAATCCTGGAAACTACAGCTTTGCAAGTATTCAGAGTGTCTACAAGGGTAATATTAGAGAAATAGGCCAATTTGTGATTTGCAGATTGTTGACCCAGTTTTCACAGATTTCCTAGAAAAGCTGAAGGATCTGCTGCCCAGCATACAGATAACGTCGCTGGTGGTGATCCTGCTTTACTGCAGGATCAGCATCCTTCTAGCTGATACTCAGAATGTGGCTGTATCCAAATTTTTCATATATGGGAAAACGAAGAGTTAAGTTAAATCGGTGCCTTTTTCTTTCTTTTCAGTCACAAAAATCCACTCATTGCTTCGTTAGGAAATTGTTCTAAATGCAAAGCCAAGTCACTGGTTAATAGGGAGAAATGGGCAGTCATTTGATTACCAAGAAAAATCAGCACAGTTTACAGATTTTTTGCAAAAGCTCTGGCATGTCAGCAGAGATCAAGTCACAGGAAATTAGTCTAAATCCAACTACCAAGATGACAGTGATCCCAACAGGACTACATGAAGAACAAAAATCTGTTGCCCCTCCATGAGACTTCCTGTGGTTGACCGTACAATCCAGATGCTGGGCAAAACTTTTGGCTGATTTGCCAGAGTTCTCATTAGCAGAAAAAAAAAAAAATACAATAGTAATAGGAGAATTCTGACAAGAATATAAGCTTGAGTCAGGACTTAGCTAACACTGTTTTTCCTGAAGGGATTGTGGTTGCACCAAGGGCTACAGTTCTTTGATGGATTACAAACTTGGCAAGTGTAAAGTCAGATTTAGGTAGTGTTAATATCACCTACATGGGAAACACATATAGAAGTGTAAGTGCTGGGCCAGATGCATAGAGAGATTGAATGGGATTTTTTTAAAGGTGTTACTTTTAAAATTTGGGGTGGAGATGTTGCCTCCCTCCTCCCCATAACTACCCCAGAAAGTTCTTTGCCTAATGGTATAAAGAAGACTGAGGGAAAAAAAATCCATTGAAATGTAACAGAAATCGGAACGATTCACAGCTGAAAATAGAATTATGTAACTATTTTAAAAAATAATACACAAAGTTTAAAAAAATCAAAGTTGATGGACATTTTGGTTTTTTCCAGGGATTTATAAGGGAAAAATGTTGTTTAGTCCTATTCCATACCACCTTATTGAAAAGGTGTCAACAGATTTCTAAGTGGTCATCCGTTCTATTTTATACACTTAAAATAGTTGGTTTATTACCCCAGAAAATCAAATAAAGGTAATCAGATGTCATCTAGAGGGGGAAAAAAAAGAAGAGAGTTTATTTGAAGAAAAGCATACACAATCTGTGACAGAATAATGTGTACACTGTCTCTTCCTGTGCCCCAGTTGGTGTGACAGTGCCATCTACTGAAGTCCCGACAGACAGACGGTAGAGGCAGTGCTGTCAAAAGCTTTTCCTTCTGCTGACTCTCCAACATATCAGAGGCCAAACCACCTCTTGGAAGCTGAGGCCATGTGCTCCGTCATTACCTTGGCTATTAACTCTAGAGAAATGTGCTGCCAAATGCCGCGGATTTAATGCTCACCAGTTTTCTCCAGAAGAGGAACTCTTGCACCTTCCACCATTGCAAATGCGGTTGTGATGCTCAGCTTTTTCAACTGGCAGACCCATGGCAGGGCGAGCAGAGTGAGTGTGGTTTGTTTAGGTGGTTTGGTTGGTTGTTTGTCTTGAATCCACCTAATACAAGGTAATTTTGAGGCCAGGTTGGATGGAGCTCTGAGCAGCCTGGTCTAGTGGGAGGTGTCCCTGCCCATGGCAGAGAGGTTGGAACTAGTCGATCTTTAAGGTCCTTTCCAACCCAAGCCATTCTACGATCCTGTGATTTTGTGCCTGAGCTATGGCTGATTTGCCAACAGTGGTAATCCAGCAGTTAGAATATACAGGCTGAGATTTCCAGTGTTTGGCAGCCTGAGCTACTGCAGGCTCAGAAATCCATAGGCAGCTCTTACAGCCCAGAGGGAAAGGGTGGTGGGGCTGATGTTCACAGAGAAGCACAGGGGCCTGCAGGTGCCCAGTGCTCACGTGCAACCTGTGGGTTTGAGCTGCTGTTCATCCTGGTTAACTCCTGCACCACTGATCTCTATAGGGTTTGGAACAGACTTTATCAGGCTGTGGAAGCACTGCACTTGGTGACTCAGGTTTAAGAGATTCTGTTTCTACGGGCTGATGTTTTCACAGATGAAGTTTTAATAAGTGAAATGTGCGGGTTAAATGTAAACATTTATTTAGGCAAATAACTTTATTTCACAGTTGGTACGGTAGAATTATATATATATGATATGAATGAAGCTACTCATCTGGCAGATGCAAGGATCTGTGAGATCATTCCTTAAACTGGTGGGGGTAAGAATTCCAAAAAGCCAATTACATATAATTTATAATATAAGTATGTATTTTGTTTTCAAAATATATGTTTATACCAAGGTAAATTTTGATTCCATGCTTTTTTAAGTCTATACTAAACTTTTCACTGGTTAGTTGGAGTTGGATTTTGGGACAAAGTTCAACTAAGGGCTCAAACCAAGACGATGAGGTAATTCAGAGGCATATCCACATTTCAGGATTTTATCCAAACCAAACCTGAACTCCTAACTCTTTTGGGGGAAGGGGAAGAAATGAGACAATGACCTGAAAAAAAAAAAAAAAAGAAAAAGAAAAGCATTTTTATATTTTGTCCACAGAGATACTACTTCCTCTTTTCTCTTTTTGCAAGCATTTATTGCAGATCTTGCAAATCCTGAATGGGTGCATTTGCTATGCAGCATCAGTGTCAAAAGCAGTGTAAAAATAATGGCAGCATGTGCTTATGGAATTTCACAGACAAATGCACCACTCAGGTCTTCCAAGACGTTTTTTTTTTTTAACCCAGTTAGATGACATGAAAATAAAACATCAGATAGGTGAATAGAAATGAATATATTATGTATCCATTTTCAGATACCAATTATCCAAATGCTAGTGGTATTATTTTCTAACTGGAAAAACATAATGCATTTTTAGAGTTATAAAACAGTTGTTCCAAATGCAGTTTGTCTATGTAGACCTTGTGGTCCATACAGAATGAAAAACAGTTTTTGTTTATAAAAGCAAATAAATACAGTAAAAGTTACCCTTGTTTCCTGCTATCTTGTAGACGCGAGAGAGAGTGATTTCTAAAGGGCAGCTGGCTTCAGCAGGGAAAGCTGAGCTGTGAAAACAAGCTAACCATCTGAGGGAATGATGTGGACTCAGAAAAAAAAGAAACATTGATGAAATCCACAGGAAATCACTAATTATGGTAGTCATAAAAATAACAAAACAGAATGCTCGCCCTGTCAATTACTGCAGACAAGGCTGATGATGTCATGGTGCTGCTACACAGTCACACAAAGTGGGCTGTGCATATGGACAGATGTGTGTGCTGCTCTATACACAGATGCTGAATGCAGAGCTGCTTTCGGATGTGTTTCACACAGAGATCTTTACAAACAGAACAGGTTTTGGATGCTTCAAGAATATTTGTAGAAAGTAACATTGGACAAATACTTACAGAAGTTTGGTTTATTTTGGCTGATATTTTCTTGTGTTCTGTAATAAATTGATTTTAACTAATCCATCTTCTGATTTATGAAAAAGCAGATATTATGGCTTAGGGCAGCAAATTAAATGGCACCAACCCTATTGGATGGTAGAAAGCTGAGCTTCTTTACAAAGAAGTATAATCGTTGCCCAGTGACTGTGCTAATTCCTAATATCCATCTGGTATTGTCCATAAACAGCTATTTTTAGGGCTGTTACTCAGAATGTGAGAAGCTTGCTGCACTTTAAGTACACTAGAGTATGTGTTGTGCTAAACATCAAAAATCATGTTTATGGAGGCAAGCTCTATGTTTACAGTGGTGGCGTGTGGGAGTCCCACTTCAGAGGAAAAAGGAAACGAAGATTGCTCAGTTATCTGGTGCAGAGCTTTGGCAAGAACATCCTCTATTCATGGAATAGCCTTCATTAAGAAGTCCCAGGGTGGTTTTTGGCATTCAAAACCAGTAAAAAGCAGAATCAACCATTAACTGCTACAGTTTCAGTTTAAAGTACTTCCAGATTTTGACAAGAAGCTGCATGCTAATTATTTATCTAATGAACTGGCTCCAATCAGAGTGCAGACCTGGTTACGCTCCGTATCAGCTGCACTGTGTAAAGATCTGATGCAAAACAGGGTGAAGTAAAGCGGAAAGACTCCCTTCAGTTTCAGCGGGTTTTAGGCCAGGCCTCAGGAGTGTAAGATGAAGGAAATGAGAACGCATGTAACCTATGTAACAAACAGCGCTATAAATGACAAGGCACTAATCTGCTTCTCCATCTGTTTCTCGCCGAGCTGAGCATTGGAAGCCTTTGAATTTCTGTTGACAGTTTGCCTTTTCCAAGTGTTTTTGGTCTGGTATATAATTTAAACTTCAGCAACTTCCTATGGTAGTGGATATCATTTTAAGATTTGTACACAGAAATTGAATCCAAATTCAAGAAGGAAGATTACGGGTTGTCTCTTCACAGGGAGCTTTTGGACTGGAGGGAGGTTACAGATGCAGTTTTGCCTTGTGACCAGTTTTATTTGGTACTTTTGCTCGTTGTGTTTGCTAAGTATCTTGCGTGCAGAGATTTGGTGCTGATGCAAGAGTGGCATCATTAACGCAGAGCAGGAAGACAGGATTTGGGTGTATCAGAGTATTAGAAGGGGGGACTGAAACGTACTAGCAGACGGTGACAGTTACGTCCGAAAGGGCCTGGAGAACTGAGATCTTGCTGAGCCACACGCACGTCCGTAGGGGCTACCGGGAGGCGGCGGGGACGCTGAAAGCCCTTCCCAGCTCCCAGGTCAGCGCGGCCACGGAAAAGACCAGCGCGATGCTGTGACACACTAGGTCAAGTATTTCCTGTGCAGCGATGGAGGGCCTGCCCGCGGCCCTGGGGACACCCCCGCGGGGCTGCGCCGCCCCCAGCCCGGCGAGGTGAACCGGGGGGGGCGTGGGTGGCCGGACACACGGGCTGCGGCGGCCGCGGGGAGGGCGCGGGGCGCGCCGCGAGGCGCCGCGGGGAGGGCGCGGGGGCTGCCCGGGCGCGCGGCCGGCGCTGGCACAGCCCCGGAGGGCGCGAGCTGGCGTCGCCCCAGCCTTTGGCAGGGCTGGAGGCGGCGGGGGTTGGGGAGGCGAGGGCGGCAGCGGGGCGGTGGCTGCAACACGGAGCGGAGGGCCCCGCTGCCGGCGCCGTGCCGTTCCACCGCGCGCCGTCCCATCCCATTCCATCCCATCCCGCTGTAGCGGTTCTGGGCAGCGCCCGCCACGGGCGAGGATAACTAACGGAAACTCTTTCGGGGAGCCCTGCGCCTGCGCCGCCGCGCGCGCTGAGCCCCCCAGCCCGCGCAGGGCATGCCGGGACTCGTGGTTCGTCGGGGCCGGGTGGACGGTGCCTGAACGCGGTCGCGGGACTACAGCTCCCGGCAGCCCCCGCGGCGCAGCCCCGTCCCGTCCCGGGCGGCGCTGGAGTGTGCGGGGAGCCGCGGGGCTGGAGATGCGCGAGCGGCCGCTCCGGCCCGGGACAGCGGGGCCGCAGGTGAGCGCGGCGGGGCCGCGGGCGCCTTCGCCGTCGGCGGCCGGCGCGGGAGAGCGGGGTGCGGGGGTCGGGGCTGCCGCCGCCGCGCCGGGGAAGGGCGGGGGCGGACTCGGAAAGTTCCTGCCGCGGCGGCGGGAGCGGCGGCTCCGGCAGGGGCCGTGTCCCGGGGGAGCCCCCACCGCTCCCCCCGCGGGGGAAGCGCCGTCGCGGCAACAGCTTCGCCCTGGGTATCCCGGGGTGGGGGCGACGGGCCGAGGCCACATCATCTCCGGAGATGGTGCCGGCGGAGGCGGGTCGCGCAGCGGGGATTTAAACCTTGGACGGGCGGACGGGACGGGCGGGTGCCAGCGCCGGCCCGGCCGGGGCTGCGTGACCCGCGGCAGGCGCGACGCGTCCCGCCGGTCCCGCCCGGGCCGTGCGGGGGGAACCGCTGTCCCTCCCGGCGGGAACCGGCACCCGCGGGGGTAAGGACAGCCGGGGGAGTCGCTGGGAATGGGGTGCGACGGCTGCGCCTCACCTCGCAGCGGGTTAAGTACCAGGAATTTGAGAAGCTGCCCGGGAGCTGCTCGGCTTGGGAGCAGCCCAGCAAGGAACGGGAGGGTTAGCGCTTCTGGGCGAGGGGAAGCTGCGAGCTGGGAGCAGGGGAAGGGGACAGAGAGGCTCCCTTCCTAGCCTTTGTACCTCTCTGCTCTCTAGGTGTGGGGTTTCCTTTACATAAATAAAATACGGAGTTGTAGACTGCACGTAAATTTCGACATGCACTTAATTTATTTGATGTTCGGAAGAACTCTATCCTCACTACAAAATGAGCAGTTTGTATGACTTTCCTTTCTTAGAAAGGTCCATTCTTTCCCGCCAAGTAGCAAAAATAGCCTTCTTTAAAGGCTTATATGCAAATACAGGTGCTATGAAAAGGCTTTGTCAATGCAAATGTATCATGCTTTTGGTAAATATAATTGATGTTCTAATTAGGCAGCTTTTGCAGTGTGTTTTCACTATGTAAATTAAATTTGCTTAGTAGGCTCATTAATTCTTTCTCATCATAAGGCTTTTGTGTTCTCTGTTATGTTGGTTAGGCATTACTGTAATTCTGATCCACACCTAAGGCTTTGTATTTGCTTGCTCTGGTGTCTCTGAGAGGTACGGGAAGGAAAAGCAGTATGTAGAAAACAACAGTCATCTTCAAGCAAAGCTGAAGGCACTATGAAGCTGCTTTCTTGAGAAGGGTTCTTAAACGTTGCTGTTCTTACTCTTCCTGTTTTTGACCTTCACCTGTATCACATTCAGTGTGTTCTTTAAGGCAGAAATTATCTTTTCATATGTTGTTGCTACATGTCCAGCAACTGTTGCATATTTGAAGACAACAGTTTCTAGGTACCTGTGCTGAAAATCTGGAAGTTATCAAATTGTTCTCTCATGGAGCACTTGTTAGGAATTTTTATCACACTGCCAAGAGCTTCTCTTCCTTCCAGTAATGCAATTCGTGTACCTCTCTTTCCTTACTTACCTTTCAGAATGCAATGGCAGTGGGGCTTTGAGTTATTACACTGGTAAATATACCAGGAGTGCACAGTCTATTAAATTGACTCTTTTACCAATTCTCAGCCTTATTTCTGGTAAGGGCAGCTTATACTATGTGCAATAAACTGTGGCGTTTCTCTTCTGAAATTTCATTTCAAGAATTATGTTCTTTCAGAGATTTTTTTTTTTGTACATAAGGGAAGGAAAGAAAACCTTTTCCTGTGGCAGAAGTTGCATGGGGAATCTAAAAATTATTCTTTTAAAATATTTCAGTTGCTCATGAAATGCCTGAAATATCGAATTGGGTAAAATAGCATTTTGTAACAAGTATCTTGAGCCCATGCTCATGAAATTATTTATTTTAAAAAGTTGTAGCCAACTTGCTTTTTTCATCAGACATGTGAATGTAAATTAATTTGATTTTTTTCCAGAGGAACCAATGCTCAATTGTATGCTCTGCATATCTTCCTGTAGTTGGAGTTTATGCAAGACGTTCTTCAGTTGTCTGGAATCACAGTATTAAAATCCTGAGTACATGCTATGTAGAGTTTGAGTTTTGACTTTATGGGGGGTTTTTTGACATTTCAATGCATTTAATAAATTTCCTTCTCTACCCACCAGCTTCTCAATATAGACCTACAGAGCAGAGCTGTGGTCTACTGCCCCCTCTCCCCACCTTTTTAATTTTTTTCCTCTTAAGTGCTAAGTACTTTGCTCTGCCAAATTACCATTAATTAGAAGTTGTGGTAACATACTGGGCAGTGTTACATCTGATTTGTCTTGAGTATCACAGAGTGGGAAAGTAGTTGAGTAGAACTATAAGTACAAAACATTACTAAAATAACACATTTGAGTAAAAGAAGTTGGTGATTCTGCTGCTTCAAAGTACAGCGGTTATGACACTGCTATGCGACTATGCATTTCATGTGAAATGACAGCTTTATCTTTTCCCCTGCAGGCAGAGTACAACGTTTCAAAATGCTGGAGATTATCTGGGTGAAGCTAGAGATTACATTTAATGTGATTCAGTCTTCAGACATTCTGCTCCTCAATTTCATGAGCTAAAATATTTTATAAAAATGAAATCAGATATCTTCACTGATCTGCAGGTTAACTGTGTCCTGTGAATTCAGAGAAGCCTTTCTGAAGGAGGAATTGATTCATCATACATGGACTTCTGTTGTTACTCAAGGATACACCTTTTTTTTCATTCTAAAAGCCTATCTTCATGAAGATGCATCTGCATTTGAGATATCTGTGCAATTAGGTGAATGAGGATATTTTTAATGAATTACCAGCATCTATTTCCATCTGTTTCTCCAGCTTTTGTTTTTTAAGAAAAATGAAGAACAAGTATAAAACAGCAGAGCTGATGCGTTTCTGTGAGGCCTTTATGTAAGCCTCTGTTGTCTGGATGTGGTGCTAAAGGACAGGCAATCTGCTTTCAATGATTGTAACTGCAGAAAGACAACCTTTAATTTAAAGTAACTTGCAGCTGTAATTATTTTGCTCTTTGGCTTGCACGAATGAAAGGGAAATTTAAGTTTTACTGGTCATTTTACTGAACTAAGAAAGGGAAACTTACATTATCCTTGTTTGCATTTCAAACTAAGAACTGATAACGTATTTTTCTTAGAATTTGACTACTACAGAGATCTTGACAGAGTAAAGCAAGTCAGATGTCAGCAAACGACTCTTCTCCCCCATCCTTACAGAAGTTTTCCCCATCTACGTGTCATGTTGCTGCACCACAGACCCCAACTTTGTCTTCAAGTCCCCAGTCGGGGCTCTCCAGTCGACTCTCCAATGGCAGTTTCAGTACCCAGAGCCTCACCAACTCCCGAGGCTCTGTGCACGGGATCTCCTTCCTTCTGCAGATTGGTCTCACTCGAGAGACTGTCACCATTGAAGCTCAGGACCTGTCCCTCTCTGCTGTTAAAGACCTCGTGTGCTCAATAGTTTACCAGAAGGTAGGGTTTAACCACATTCTGTTCATGGCATCCCTTGTTTGCTAACAGACTGCTTAGTAATAACAACGTGTGACTGAATGATGCCAAGAGATTTGGTACAATGATAAAGATCCATGTTAGGTATTTGCAGTTTTGCACAAATTTTGCTAACTCTCCAGGTAGAAGCTTTTAATTTAAAAGGAGTAGACCCTCCTGTTACTTTCTCACTTGTGAAATCTAGTAAAAGAAGATGTAGTAGTAAATTTTCTGCAAGAATTACTTTTCACAATATGGAGACTATGTTCTTTCCTTTCAGCAATTGTCACTGATACCTCAGGGTTTTATATTTTGTGCTTACTGTTGTTAAGGAGTATTCTTGGAACTGTATAGCCAGCCCTAATGAAAGGACCAGTTGTGGCTATAGACGTGCACTGCACACTTGCAGACTTGCAGGAGGAAATAACACTGATCTTGCTGGTTTTGCATCCAAGTTTTATCTTTATTTAGGTTTGCTAGGTTAGATCCTACTAAGCAACCTTAAAAGCAGTTAACAATATTTCATAAATAAAAAAATAATTGCTCTTTCCCTGCAAGGCCATGGGTGAGTGAGAGTGAGGGAGTTGAAAGTGAATTATTTTGTAGGGAATTGTTTTCTCTATGTCTTTCATTATTGTGATTGGTATTTATGGTTGGTTAGTTTTATATGTTTTTTTTACTTAATAGCTTGAAAGAATGTAAACTCATATATTTTATGTTATTTCCATATGCTTATGTATCTTTTTTCCCCATCTCATAACTTACTGCATCTTCCATATTTTTACAAACTAGTTGTCAAGCAAGCCAATTTCGGAATGACTACCAAAATATAGTTCAGCATGTTAGTTCCTTTCTGAAGAGATGAGTTATTTGGGTCAAATTCTTTTTTTTCGTGTACCCTGTGTGTTAGCTACACCTTTTTGCAGCCATTTTAGGGGCCGCTTTTTCTTTCTATATGAGCTCTTTTTCTTTGTATCTACATATTTCCTGTCTTCTGTCTTAAAGAAAGATGAAAACAAATACACTTACTTTTCTTTTTCCTTTCTGTTCTCTTGGCAGGCTCAGCTAAACGTTTAGCTCAAGTTCTTGTTATAGCTCAAGAAACTTCTTACATGCTGAGCCTAATCTACTGCAAAACTGATGAGGATTTCATGATCAGTTTTCCTCTTTTGTCTGGC